TAACTTGCGAGGCGTAAAGCTTCACATTCTCAATGGTGTAGTCCTGGCTCCCGCTGATGTTGCGGGCCCCGTCCGTGGGGTCGCAGAAGGTGATTTGAAGGACTAAATTGAGCTCGGGAGGCAGCATTTTGCCGCAATTGAAGATTCCAATGAGATGGGGGCTCATGAGCACGGTGCGGGAGCCCGAGGCCGGGATGGGTGCGGCGTGGCCCCCACCGTCCGCCAGGAAGCCCTGGATGTGCCGTTCTTCAGGAGGCTGTACAGATACGAGCAGCGGTTGTAGTAGCTGATGTCCTCTATGCGAGTGCCCCCACAAAAGACTTCTATGCGGTCGATGAGGCACGACGGGTTCGGCGAGGCGAGCTGCAGCGTGGCCGCGTTGGAGTTGTTGCGCGCCGTGAAGCCCAGCTTGACGGACTCTCCGTCCACGAAGCTTTGACCGCTCGTCAAGGGAATTCTGCACACGCGGCTCGTGGTCGGCGTGAAGACGCTGAGCGAGCTGGGATAATAGACCACGTCAGCTCTTGACTGCACGTAATTCACGTTGCTCGACTGGAGCTTGTAGTCGAGGCTCTGAACCAGCTCATCATTGACGGCAGCAGTCACCTGCTCCATACTGTTGACTTTAGCGAAAGATTCATGCGGCCTCCGGCTCGCTCGCGCTGCGAAGCGCCTCGAAGGAAGGGGGCGGCGCGGCGCGGGACTGGCGCTGCATACGAGGCCCGCGGGAGGACGAGTCGCTGCCCGAGGACTGCGCCAAGGGGCGTGGGCCTCGCGGGACGAGCCTGCACTCGAGGGGGCGGCTGTGCCCGCGGCTCCGATTCACTGTCGGTGTCCATGCGGTAAAACTGTGTCCGCGGGCGTTGCTTCCGGAGCTGGAAGTGCTGCTCCGCCCCGAATTCCTGCATGCCGTTGAGCGTCTGGATGTCGGGCGCGGAGCTAGGGCGCGAGGCGTCCGTGTCCGTGCCTCCTCCTCCGCCCCAGCCCAAAAGGCGGCTCAAGCTTCTCGCTGTTGTGGTCTGTCTTTTTGAACTGGTTTTGGGTTGAACAGGTTCTACTTTGAACGAGCCCCAGGGAGGACGTTTTCTGAAGTAGGGTGACAGCATGGTTTCATGGAGATATTTATGGATTTGGATACTCGTGCGTGGCATTACAAGCAATGGGGAGATGAGTTGGTGGAGGTACCAGTTGAAGAAAGCCCGAGCTTGGATCTGGAGCCGGTGCATCCTCCGAGACGCAGGCGTCTGAATGCGGATGATCGTCTGCATGAAAGAATGAGGGCTCAGGACGAGGACCCCTCACCGGCTGATTTCGAGGGTTACAACGAAAGCAGTGAGGAGGACAACCAGCAATCGAGAGATCCTATCTGGGAACCTGGTCAACCATCTACGGTCGGCAGCGCGCAACAATTGTCTGAACCGGGGATCTATGCTTCACCTTTCTTTGGGAGACAAGCCGCTTTGCTCACCGGTGCCTATTGGTATACAAATACCGAATCGATGGCCTGAGACAACGATTCTGGGAAGATGTTCGGCTTGGGGGGGGGAGCGGGCGGGCAGTGACAGAAAGACCCTGGTTTTGGAGCTTTGGGAGGCCCAAAACCTCAATTCTCAGGCTTTTTTGTGATTGGAGCCTTGGGCTTCGTTTTGGGCTTGGGGTTGGGGCTTAGAATGGTTTCGGGGGCGTTTTGTGGGTAGTTGAAGGGTCGCAGGCATTGTGGCTATCATGCACTGAGGCACAAATCCTTATCATGGTTAAGTGACTCCTTGTTGTGGTTAAAAAAAATGGGTCTTTACTGCGGTTACGACCCCGCCTCGGCCTACCACCGCCCAATATTCTTCGAAGGTTGCCTTTGTTTTTGTTTTAAAGTCTTGCTGAAGTGGTTAACTGTGTCGCTAGAAGTTTCCAGACGTTTTGCTTGGAAGGAAACACATCAGAGTAATGCTGAATCATGCAAACGGTTGTATGGGTGAAAGGCCTGACATGTGCATATCATCTTGGCATATGTTTCAAACAGGTGTGGTGCAAAGATCAGAACCCCTCCCAACTTTTTTTGAGCCTTGAGATTGCAGGTTGCCACCGATGTTTCAACAGCCGGCGGCATGTAATTCACAGCTTGTTTTTCATGTGTGTGCATTGGTTGCATACCCGTTTTTTATTGACATGTTCAAAGGAAAAAAAACCACGTGCTGCTATGCGAATCGTGGCTCGAGGTCTGCCAAGGCTTGGACATCATGGAGTAGCCCGTATCGTGGCGTTTGAATTATTCCCGATCGGGTTGACACATGTTGTAACCGTTGTTTGTGTCAGGCAGTTATGGTCATGCAAACAACAGCATAGTAACGCACAGGCATGTTTTAATTTTCGCGTGCAGTTTGGAGTTTCCTTTGCGTTATCCGTGCCGACATAGACACTGCGATGGCACGGGTGTGTCCCTCTGACGTTCCAGCGTCTCCATCTTTTTGTGGTTTTGCAAGTGTACTGTTGTGCGAGATCAGGTCGGATCAGTTGATTTTACAGCGTTCCACCACAGTCCACCACAGCGAGCTCAGTACTGGCGTGAGGCAGCCGTGCGATTGGCTATTGTTGTCGTGTGAGCAGTTTATTCCAGCAAGATTGTTACAATTTGTCGTATTAGGTCATCAACAGAGAGACATGGGCCGGACTCCCAAGTCTATGGCCGTGGCTGGACAGGGGTTTTCAACATCGCATGCTCTCTATCGGTTTTCTCTATTGGTTTGCATTGCGACTGAGGATCATCATTTTCATCCGTTAAACGAACGGCTGCCACTTCCAAATTACAAGGCCGTGTCTTGCTTAGTTCGGGTTGAAACAATGATGTTGCAGCTTGAAGGATCTGACTTCGGTGAGTAAAGATGCGCAAAGTCAACCGTGGCGTTTTCTGAGGCCGACCATGTTGCTGTGTGTTTCAACCAATGTGATGCAACGTGTTGGTTTTTCGGTGATTCATGCTTCCTGCTTGTCAGCCAGGCAATCTTTTCAGGTAGGACGGGATGACTTGGGCAGCAAACTTAGTCTCAAGCAGCAAGAAGGCTTTCCTGTGTAGTGACAGAATCTGGACGGTCTGCCGTCACAAGGAATGTCGTATTTGGACGGGCGACAACAGCCCACCGGGTCCCGGTTTGGTATGCGGGCATACATCGCAAAAGTCGAGCAACGCTTTGCTGAACAGGATGTCGAAACATGGTTGTGGCCGTCCAGCGAATGTGCTTATGAGCTCAATCCCTGTGGGAAATGCACCAGTCCCGGCAGTGTCAGTGTTAGCTGTATGGCTGCGGAGTTCATGGTTGAGCAAACAGCGAGGTTCCTCTGGAGACGGCACACCTAGAAAGCACTTTGCATTCCCGCAAAACTGCGGGGGCCGCTGGGTGGCAGAGCGCAGATTCCTACCAATAGCTGACGCAGCAAGATTGAGCAACATGGTGCCAACAGATGCTAGTTTGCAGGCACTCCAGATGTCAGCTACAATTGCGTCAATGAGAGGGGCTAGTGACTTTGGAAGGAGCTGGCAGCTCAATTTGATGGGAGTGTGTGTGTGTGCTTCGCATGTGAGTTCGGCCTCGAGTTATACAAGCGTATTCGCAGGTGACAAGCTTCCAACAGTTCGTGCACCCGCATGCAGCAACAACCGTCCAGGTACTGCCTTAAAGAGGGAACCAGCACTCAATGCTGCTATCAGGTTGTGCGAACATTGAGTGAGTTTGCGCAGGTTGGGGCTCTGCGAGTACACCCACGTTGCGCCTCCAACTTAGCTTGGGCTTAGTCGTCTAGAGCGTGTGACGGTCCAGTGATCCACCTGCTCCCAGGGAATGGCAATATCCAGCGGCCTCCCTCGTTCGCACGAATTCTGAATGTATAGTTCTCTAGAAGGCGGATGACGAAGTCATGCGTCAAAGTCTCGGTGACTGGCAAGTCAGCATCGAAGACAGAAGAGGGGCACGGAACGCTTGCCCAAAGCCGAGATGCAGGGCACAGCGCATAGAATCAGAATAGAGCCTGGCAACAGGTTGTGGCATAGGTTATGGCTTTTCACAGTCACAGTACGAATCGTGGTGGATGTCTTTGGCAATTTTGCAGCCGTTGAACAGCTATGGTCTGCTGGGTGGTAGCTTTGCCATCTTTGTGCCGATGACGTTTGCCAAAGAGTTGATGGCTCAGAGTGAGTCCACATGCAAAAGAATATTCAAAGGGAGGTCGTACCAGTCTTGCCGGGTCAGTAGGAATACTATGCTGCAGGCATTCGTGAAATCAGCCGTGGGCCGTGGTGTGGTAATGCAGCGCGCCAGCCCTCGACTGAGATGCAGGACTACGAACACGCAAGTGTGCAAGTTTCAGTTCCTTGCGTGTGTTCAGCCAAGGTAACCCAGTAACACCGTCCGTGGGAACCTCACCATAGTACTTCATGCAGCGAAGATCGATCTTTGGTGTTGGGATCTGGCCTCAGCTTTGCGAGGGCCAACTATTCGGCTCTCTGTGTTCATCGGCCGACTCTCAAGAACTGCTTAGAGCCAAATGTCGTCCATGGGGCTTTGGTACGACTGCGGTCTCGAGCCTGTCACTTTAAACCTGGCATGCTTATATCAGCATGTATAGGCCACGGCTCGCACAAGCAAACACGTCATGCTTGCTGATGATGCAACCTGTAAAAGGGAATTTCTCGTTGGCATCAAACCGAAGAGACTTGGTTTGGCGTTGATGTCCCAGGCGAAAGTCCAAGGTCCTGCCGAAAGATGGGCGTTTGCAGGCATTCAGTGGCGGCTGTGTGTTGTTGCTTCCAATGTCGTTGCTTGCCTTTGTTCAGAGCTTCAGCAGAACGTGCTACATCAGAGATGGACATTGTTTGTTCAGGCCAGGCAAGAACCTCAAGCTCCACTTGACATTGAAACTCAGATCAAGCGACTTGGGCGAGATTTGATCCGACTGCATCGTTTTGTATTGTTCTGTTTTGACATGCCTATTGCCACAATATCTGCAGGCAGATGGTCCAGCAGCATGGGCACCTGCATGCCAAGACTTTGACACTGATGAATCACCAAGCTTTGGACCCACACTCAGCTGAGTACTGTCAGAGCTCAGAGCGCCAGAGAGTTGTCAATTCGTTGGCGACACGGCAGCTTGAGCCGTGCAGACTTCCATGAGAATATATGAAAGGCATATCGGGACATGGACAAGACCGAAGATGCTTTGCAGTTGTACAGAGAGGCAGGACATAGTAAGCTTGCGCTAACTTGTGATTGAACGCCTCATTGAAGCTTGAACTTTGGAACTGGCCCGTAGAACACACAAAGATCAGTCCGGCAAAACGCGCCGTGCCCCCTGTCTGTTCTTTCAAGTGATGACGAAACAACGCGGCATTGATGCACGGAAGCATTTAGAATGACAAGGCTTGCTTCAGACTTGCGTAGGCAGAGCCTCAGTAAGATGGCATAGTTCGAATGATGGATGATGGCACTGTAGTGAGCTAATGTTGGGCTCGCTTTAAACTTTAGTATCCAGGGGTCCCCCCCCAAACAATTTTGGGGTTTTCGGGGATCCTCTATAGGCTGGATTAACCGAAACAATTTTTTAAAAGCGAATCAGGGCAGCTCGTGTGCTACCCACTTGGAAAATTGTTTGGGGGCCTGTTTCGCAATGAAATCTTAAAAGGAATGTAAATACAGCCGGACACCAGAAGATTCTCATTCAAAATAATTTTTAGTTTTTGGCTCCCCGGCCCCCCGCCCTTCATCACCGGCCCGGCAACATCGCATAATTGAGGACCACCCTCATCAATGGGGAGGGGGTCCCGTGTAAGATTTCCGAGAAAGCGCTTTATAGTGCCCCTTGTCACTACAACGAGTGCAACATGAACTCATGTCTGTAGATGTTGATTTACACATAGCTGTAGAGTAGCTTCAAGTAGCTAGTCGAAATTGTAATACAGCTGTAGCAAAGTCTGTTCTAAGAGTAGTACTATGTGGGTTAGAAGTAATTAGCATAGCTAGGCTTGAGTTTAACATTGCTTTGATAGGGAACCGGTCCAGCATTTTACTTGAGAACACCGAGGAAAATGGGGGGGGGGTGTCCTGAATCTATCAGGTGAATTCGGGTTGGGGGGTGGGGGGTATTGAATCTTTCCTTCAAATGGATGGATCGCGGTTCATCGAATCCATCGGAAAAAAGGGGGGTGGCGACAGATGCGCCACAGTGTAGATCACGGGGTCTGTATGCGCGTTCTCTGAAGTGCGCGCGTTTCAGAGAGCTCCGCAGATCTGGATCGATCGCGGTCTCCGTGAGCGCACTGTGTGGGGTGTGTGGTGGAGTGTGGAGTGTGGTGCTCTCTGGTCGGTATGGTGTTGGTGTGTGGTGGAGTATGGATGTGAGTGGCGGAGTGTCAAGTGTGGCGTGTGGCATGTGGAGTGTGGAATGTGGAGTGATGATTGTGGAGTGATGAGTGTGGAGTTTGGAGTGCTTTCAATTTGCCCTTCAAGCAAATACTAAAAGCTTGGAATTTGTTTAGAGTAGCGATACTTCTCGAGACGAAGCTGAGGACTAAGAGTGTCTAGTGCTAATGGGCTCGTTGTAGTTAACTCGCTAGAATGAGTACATAATGGTACTGTCTTCACAAAAATTTGGTGTAAGAACAATCAGTCGTGCTTGTGGGCTGGTCCACAGTTCCCCACATGCCTCCAGCAGCTTCGTTGGAAACTTTCAGCTCGCTAGCCGCTGGCCATCATGAAATGTCAAGCTCAACGAAGCTCTGCAATGACATTCTGACATCAGGTGCATGATGGGTGCAAGCAGACCCTAGGCATGCAGCATCCCTACACGTGTGGCACCCAGGGAAGTCGAACAAGCTCTTCAGTGCAGCTGTTGTGCAGGTACATACAGCAGCATGGTCTCACATGGTAGACACATGGTATTTGACACGGCCTCTTGAAAAGGCATTTCTCTTGCTAAAAGCAATGCGCGTTCGCCGCTTTGCTCTTTCTCCCTGCTGCGAGGACATCCCGCATGTCCGTTTACATAGATCATGTCCCGGGTTTCCTTAATGACCCGCAGTTATGCACCTGATCCGCTTGGTGTGCGCCCGAGATGCCTCGCTCGTGTCCCTGAACATCACACAGACCCGTTGGAACACGACCTGTCCCCTGTCTGCTCCTCTGGTGTCCGCTTGAAGAATGCTGGCCTGATACCCCTTGCGGTAAGGCTCACGCATGCTCACGCCTGATACACTTGGCCGATCTGGTCCAGAACTACTTTCTGGGCCTCGCACTGTAGTCCGAGTCGGCTCGTGGTTCCGCCTTTACGCTTCACCTGCCGACTGCCTGATTGGGATTTTTGCAAGCGGGCATCTCTGCAATCCACTCTGCTTCCTTTGGAGTACCTACATCATGTGTTGTTTCCATGCAAATACGAACGTGTGTGTGTGTGTGTGTGTGTGTGTGTGTCTGTCTGGCTGTCTGGCTGTCTGTCTGTGTGTGTGTGTGTGTGTGTGTCTGTCTTGTCTGGTCTGGTCTGGTCTGGTCTTCAATCCCGCTGCGCATCACCCATCATCAATGCTCCACAACAGTGAAGATACACCATATACAGCTTGCAATACAAGATGTGCAGAGCAATCACTTGCAGATGCGTGGAGACAGTGTCCCATCCCCATTCGTTGGCAGGAGACTTTCAACCGCACCTCTAGTTTTCAGATGCTCCAAATAGTCGGTGCATGTACAGCGGCTTGACACACGCACACGCACGCGCACAAACACACAAACACACAAACACACAAACACACAAACACACAAACACACAAACACACAAACACACAAACACACAAACACACAAACACACAAACACACAACACAGACACACAGACACACACACACAGACACACAGACACACAGACACACAGACACACAGACACACACACACAGACACACAGACACAGACACACAGACACACAGACACACAGACACACAGACACACAGACACACAGACACACAGACACACAGACACACAGACACACAGACACACAGACACACAGACACACAGACACACAGACACACAGCCACGCAGACACACAGACACGCAGGCACGCAGGCACGCAGACACGCAGACACCCAGACACACAGACACACAGACACACAGACACACAGACACACAGACACTCAGGCACACAGGCACACAGGCACACAGGCACACAGGCACACAGGCACGCAGGCACGCAGGCACACAGGCACACAGGCACACAGACACACAGACACACAGACACACAGACACACAGACACACAGACACACAGGCACACAGACACACAGACACACAGACACGCAGACACGCAGACACACAGACACGCAGGCACGCAGGCACGCAGACACGCAGACACCCAGACACACAGACACACAGACACACAGACACACAGACACACAGACACACAGACACTCAGGCACACAGGCACACAGGCACACAGGCACACAGGCACACAGGCACACAGGCACACAGGCACACAGGCACACAGACACACAGACACACAGACACACAGACACACAGACACACAGACACACAGACACGCAGACACGCAGATACGCAGATACGCAGATACGCAGACACGCAGACACGCAGACACGCAGACAAGCAGACACGCAGACAGACCAGACAGACCAGACAGACCAAACAGACCAGACAGAGCAGACAGACAGACCAGACAGACAGACAGACCAGACAGACCAGACAGACCAGACAGACAGACAGTCGACGATATCAAGCTGTTAGTGCATTCTTTCCCGCCAGAATATGGAGCAGTCAGTGGATCTTCTCCAGCAGGAATCGGCGCGTTCCTCCAATCGTAGCATCGTAACAGTCATTCGTGTGAGACAACCACAGTGCAGAGTGCAGGGCTCTTTTTGTGGAATGCTGAGTAGATTGGAGAACAGTCTTTGCGGAGCATTCGTCTGAGAGATATGCATCATTAGTGGCTGTAGAGTAAGGGTTGCGAACCAACTCCTGTATCGAGAGCTTTCAGCTGACAAACAGCTCTCGAGACTACGAATACAAATACGCGTTCGTTTTTGTCTACCTCCTCATCATGTACTTCTTCCACTACATGGACGTCTCTGCATCTGTTTTTCGAGCTGAGCATCGGCATGGACGTTGGCCTTCTTCATCTTCGCATCGAAGGTAAAAGTGTGTGTGTGTGTGTGGGTGTGTGCGTGTGTGCGTGTGTGTGCGTGTGTGCGTGTGTGCGTGTGTGCGTGTGTGCGTGTGTGCGTGTGTGCGTGTGTGCGTGTGTGCGTGTGTGCGTGTGTGCGTGTGTGCGTGTGTGCGTGTGCGCGTGTGTGCGTTTGTGCTGTGTTCGCGCCACCCTCAGAAGTAGGGAGCCGCAGGCAAGTTCCATTTCGTTCACATTCGGGCTGTGGGTTTTTTCTCCCAGACGTGGTTTGACCCGCAGCTCTTGTACAGGGTTCGGGCAACTCGTGTGTGTGTGTGTGTGTGTGCAATTGAGGTTGGCCAGTATCTCCAACTTGGCGAACATTCTTTTCGAAATGGATCGCTTGGACGAGGCACGCCCAAGAAAAGGAAGTCCGACGGGTGCAGCTTGCAGCAGTTGTAAGGCAGTTTCAATCGACAGCTTTGCATGAGCCGTTGTCCTTCTGTAGTTGAATGTGGTTGACGTGCTGTGCAGGCCAGGCCTTTGCTCGAGGAGGCGCTCGAAAGGCAATCAGAAATGCTGGGTTCCAGGCGCGGATCAAGGATCGGATGGTTGCTCTGCATCCGGTGGTCTATGACCCATGTTGCCAGGCATTTGGATACGTTGCAAACAGCGCACAGCTTGGCGCTACTGTTGGAAGAACAGGGAGAGTTTGACAAGGCACCACTCCACATACTCCACAGCAGGATTGACAGCTGCCATCTAATCGGTGCTGCCACTGCTGCATGTCGTCTTTTGCTTGTGAACTTAGCGAGACAGAACATTTGGACGCTAATGCGACTGAAGTTGTCCATCTCAAGCATGTCCTGCAAATTTGCAAATTTGAGAAGCTTGAGCATGGTTTGCCATGTGCTCACGTGTGATGCTTGTGTTCACCTGGTTGAACGTTGTGGACACGGCAAGAGCTTCTGAAGAACGCATGTTTCATTAGAGACCACCTGCAGACGTGCAAGCAGTTTCCAAGCAAACGTTTTGGGTGCCTGGTCCTGCGGAATGATTCATGGCACATGCATCGCGCGTCAGTTGCCATGTGGCCTTGTGGCACCGGTGTTTGTGATGGCCCCCATGGTCAAGCAAAGCGACAGACCCTTCCGGGCTATGGTTCGGTCCCACGGTTGTTCTCTCTGCTACTCGGAGATGTTCATGGCTGACGAGTTTGTCGCTTCGCCTGAATACCGGAAACGCGCTCTGGGGGAGCGGGTCGACGATGCGGATCATCCCCTCTTCGTCCAGTTTGCGGCCAATGACGCACAGGTCATGTTGAAAGCAGCTTTGGCAGCCCAAGAACTCGGGGCAACTCGTCAGCAGTTGAACTGAGCTGTTTTCGATGCTTGCAACGTATTGGCCTGTGTTGTCCTTTTGCGAGCGTCGGTCAGGCAGATGGAGTCGACATAAATTTGGGGTGTCCTCAACGCAGAGCAAGAGAGGGCAGCTATGGAGCCTGGCTTGCCAATGATGAGCTTGCTTGGCCAAAAATTGCTGACATGCTTGTCGCGTGCAGTCGGTGCACGGACCTTCGCATTCCAATCTCCTGCAAAATTCGCCTTCAGCATACACTGGCAGGAACAATTAAGTTTGCCAAGCTGCTTCAGGAGTCCGGTTGTGCACTGCTAACTGTTCATGGTCGTAAGCTTGGTTGCAGCAAACAGCACCGCGACGGTCCCGCTGACCTCGGTGCGATAGCCGCCGTCCGGGACGCACTACAGATTCCTGTGTTTACGAATGGCAATGTAAGGTCTCCCGCCGACATCTTTCAGACCTTCGGCATCTCATAGGTACGGAACTGATATTAGTACCACCTCGTCCCCCTACATTCTCTTTTTCTCATTAGCAGTTCGTTGTCTTTCAAGGCCTTTAATGGAGCGAGTTGTCCATCAACTGTCGCAGCGAACCGCCGGATCAGGAAAGTTGGTAGCCATAGCCAACTAAGCTGGCTGAGCAAGGATTTCTATGCGGTGTCAAGCGTGGAACCTCATGTCGCCGGGTGCTCTAAGGAACCTGGAGATGACACGCTGCGAAGGCATCATGGTGGCAGAGCAGCTCCTCCACGATCCGGCGCTTTTCCGCAGAGCCATGGACTGGCCGATGCTATCCTCGTCCTCGTCGTCCTTGTTGCGGCCGTCGTCCGAAGAGCTTGTGGATGAGTATCTGGGACTCTGCTGTGAACACGGCGCTGAAGACGACGCTGTCTCGTTTTCCGTTTGGGGTGCAACCAATGGTCACGTCATACGGGAACATGTTCACAGGACAGCAACGTAGACTGCCACAGCGCAGTTGCAGCTGTCACATGTTGCAATGTCAGATCATGCTGTAAACATGGATGTTCAGGATGAGATCTGGCAAGGGGCCCAACTCGTACCAGATTCCTCGGACGCTTTCTTGCAGGTTTTCCAGGCACTTCATGGTCAAGGAGCACTGTCTAAGTCGATTCTAAGTTCTAAGTGCAAGCAAGTGGCTTGAGATTTTTGAAACTTGTGAGATTGCAGAGCTAGAGCCAAGGAAGCGTTCTTCGGAGCACACCGGCTTGCAAGCCGTGGAATCCCGAGAGACGAAGCGACAAAAAGACAACCTTGCTGGGAGTTAGCGATGCCTGTTGTTGCTGCCTGGGGCTTCGGTGCTTCGGTGCCATGTTGAGAGGATCACGGAAGCACTGCTGCACAGGCTGAGCCTTTGTACATACGAGCCTATGAGGGGCAGAAGGCCTGCTGCACGCCGTGCTGTGCCCTGGCCGTGTCAGCTCCTGTCACCTGGCAAAGTCTCGTAATCCTGGTGCCAGTCCTCATTGGGTCCAAAGAACCCGACGGTCTTGCAGACGGCAGTGAACCTCGCTGGCCTGAAGCAGGCTCCTTGAACCTCGATGACGTTCTGCCATGTTCTGCCACATTTGTTGTAGAACGCTAGCTTTCGAAGTGCGGACTATTCTTTTCGGTATTGGTTTTTGTGGTCTGGCGGTCCTCTGGTCTGTTGGTCCTTCTTTTGCTGGTCTGCTGGTCCGTGGACTGCTGGTCCTCTGGTGTGCTGATCCGGTTGAAAACGCGAAACGAGAAAATTCCTTGGTTTCCGTGCCAGGTAACTTTTTATTTTAGAAGAAACGTGGGGTTCTGGCAGGCAGTCGCGTAGCTTCACTGCTTCAGCAGTGCTTCGCGAAGTGCAGAAGATGGAAACAGTGCCTGAGCCCCCCGACCAGAAAGAAAATAAGTTTCGCCGCCACAGGGCGCTCAATACACAAAGCCCCACCCCCCCTCCCTGCAGAAAAAAGGCAAAATGTGCAAAACAAGGAAAAATCGTCAGAGGCAAAACAATCGAGACATTCCTGGAAGTTTACGACGAGATCAGAAGCGGTGACCACACCAAACAGGGAAAAGTGCTGCAAAGACCGAAGTTTCGGCACGAGAACCCTCCCGCAGCGGCGAAAAGCATCCCTGCCTAGAACAGGCGTAGGGGTGGGGGGGGGGGGGGTTGCCAAACAGAATGATCCGAGGAGGATGTTTTGGCCCGGCAAAGATGCTGTTGCATGCAATGCTGCTGGATGCATGTTCTGCTCTGGGTTGGATGTATCCTGTGACCTGGCTAAAGTGGTGTGGAAAAGTAGGTCGGTCTCTGGGCGTGAAAACTGTGAAGGGAAGTTCGTCGTTTTCATCATGCATGTTGATCCCTCACAACAACCCTGAATCTATTCGGTCCTACGGGTGCCTTGAATTCCCAATCACGTACCCAGAATGGTTCAGGAGGGGATTGAGGTTAACCCGACCCTTGAAGGCGAGCGAGCGCGAGGAGGCTTGTATGACGTGAGACAAACCGATGATGATAACTAAATGACCGTGGAATGAGCACGCTGAAGGTTCATCACAGTAAACATGGTAAATGCTACACGAGACTGAGATCTTTTGCACGGAGCTGTTCCGTGCCACTTCGTTGGTGAGAACACCACTGGCCTTCACGCTGTGGGAGCCACGAACCCAGGAAGGATCTTGCTGTAGGACATTCGTCGGACGTGATCTCCTTCAGGGCAATCCACAGCTCCATGCCAGAACAAGAATCCTTTCGGTTCACAACCGCCAAGATGTTCTGAGAGTTCGGATCGTTCCCAAGATCTCGATGTGGACTGAACGCAACATCTATTCCGATGGTGAGAGATGACCGCGTCATGCCCGGCATCTGCTTGCGCCTGAACTTGTTAATCATCTTCACCAGCATGGGCTTTCCAAGCTCCGACTGGTAAGGCCCGCTTGAATGCCAACACAATACGCTCTCAACAGCCAGAAAGGAGCACCTCCTCCCTTTGCAACCTGTTAACAATTCTTTTTGTTCCGCTTCGTCTTGATATTGGCCTTCATCGCTGCCTTTAACACATGGTCATGATTGAGATCCAACACGTTCCACTACAGCCCCCCAGTCCAAAGTCTCACTCCTTTCAACCTTAGACCGCGCCTCCTCACAGTGCCGAAGTTCTTCCGTGGTCGCAGACTGTGACTCGGATTCACGAACCGCCCGAGCGCACATGAGTCTCCTCCTGGACTTAAACGCCCGAGACAACTTGATTGTGAGTCGTCGTGAAATCCATTCTCGCCAAATAGGGTAGCTCGGTCTGGACTGTCAAGTGGTACCTCAGCGCGTCTCCACGCCTTATCGCGTTCCAGTGTGCCCACGAGAATGTGTTCCAGAGAAGCGATCTTGTCGACGGGCAGTGCTCGGCACTGCCAGTTGACTCTGTTTCATAGGCACCTCGTATCAGGTCGTCGCTTGTCCACTCCTCTCCACGGCATGCCGACGCCGCGCGCACGACCCGACGAAGATCGTCATAGCCTCGCCTGGGGATGTGCGTGACTGCGACCATGCGCGGAAAGTTTCCACATACAGATACCGGACGACCAACACTTTCAGCGCATTGGACTCGGATGGCTATCCACCCTCCACGAATATCCACCCTCCACGATCGGGATGACTCCTGACTCATCAGGGTCCATCAGGCCATGGATTGTCGTAAGCCAGAAGCGTGTTTCGGACAAGGACTGCGCATGCCGCCACGCTGCCGTCCGGTGGCTGTGCCTCTTCGGAGTAGGCTTCGCGATCCGTGGCCTTCCGCGGAGCGCCGTTTGTACGACATGGTTATATTTGCACCTGTCACCGAACCCATGCTTGTCCGATTTTTTTCACATTCTTGTGTGTTATTCTCGGAGATGCTGCGGTCGCGGGTGCCGCTTTAGGCTTCGGCCACCGGGCCTTAAAATCAGGACCGACGCCCTCCTGTTTGCAAAAGCATTTATCACCAAATTTGCTTGCTTCTTCAGGAATGGACATGGTTGTGATGCATTCCCGTTGTCCTTGTCGGTGCCCTTGCCCTTATCGCCTGACATGTGTCCGACAAACACAAAGATGGCTACTTTGCTTCAGCTACACACATGACCTTTGAGGAGCATCGTGATCTACCGGGCTACAGCGACAGCAAAAGGCCTCCTCCCCCCGTTCCCCTCAAACCTAGGCCTTTAAGCCTTTGGGTGGGCTGGTAGGCCTGCCGGTAGGCCTGTGGGTAGGCCTTTAGGCAGGCTACCCATAAGCCAACCCATAGGTCGGACGTACCCTTGGTTTGGGGCTTTCATATGCCCGAAAAACTGATAATGGAAACAAAAAAGTATATTTCGTATTGCAAATGAATGCCTGCATTGTTCTGCTGCAAATGGCTCGGGCTTTACAAGCCAAAATGTGAAACGATGTCATCTTGGTATCATTCTGTTTCGCCATCCTCGCGATGCTTCAGACGAACTCGAACCCTCGAGACTCATCGCCAATCTGCAGCGGCGACTCATGGCAGGAGTTCGTAGCAGGGGGCTTTCTCGAGTATAGCCCGGCCGTCGCCGACAACTCGGACCTCCAAGCGGACACCGCGGTCCGAATCGCGACGAGTTCTCATCAGGACAGAAAGATTTGTGCGAGTTTCATGGTCAACAGAAATGGCGATGCCAGCATTCTCGAGCAACTTTTTCTCAACGCCGCAAAGCCAACCAAAACCCAGTTCTATCGCCGAACAACCAGAACAACCTCGGGTTTTGACTGGGTTTCGCTCACCCATGACAAGACAGCAAAAATGAACCAAGACCCAGGTCTTTTGGTTTCATGTTGTTTCAGAGTCAAGATACCAAAAACCAGGATTGGCATTTTTGTTTTTTCATGCCGGGGCTCCTGTCCAACACCAAAGAACAGAAACCAATCGTGGAAAGATAGTCTTTTGGTATCTTTTCGTTCAGGATAGTGTATTGTTGGGTATTTAGGTGGCAAAAACCAAACACTCGAGCTTTGGTAGGTTTCTTTTCTGGGCCAGAACATCAAAAACGAAACAAATCCAGGTTTGACAAAGCAAGAAAACCTCGTTGTGGTTTTCGCTCACCCAAGACCGCGAAGCCAACTAAGAGCCTTTTCCGAACGTGCTGGAAACGTGGGATTTGAAGGCGCGACCCCGCGTGCATGGTGACAGGCATTGTCGGGGTTTTGGCAACACTTCGTTCCCGAACTGCCTGGGTTCACCGTGGGAGCTGGATCGCGTTTTCCAACGTGCTCAAAACGCAGGGTTTTGACCAATCTGCAGTGTCCGAAACCCCGCACACATTGCAAGGGGTCGAACCTACGACAATTGCGTTTCGCACGAAACCCCCACGAAATGCAAGCAACTGATGCCCGAAAGCCCCAGACGCCTTGACAGGTT